ACAAACAAACACACGCACGCACGCACGCACGCACGCACGCACGCACGCACGCACGCACGCACGCACGCACGCACGCACGCACGCACGCACGCACGCACGCACGCACGCACGCACGCACGCACGCACAGAGAGAGACAGAGAGGCCACAAGGAGAAGCAGCACAAACGGTGTCCTTTAACCATGAAAGTGCAAATGCTTCCGACGCACTTCCTCGCGGATCCTGCGATGTGCACCTTGGACTTGACACATCTTGAGACGAGTTATGCTCGCGTATCCGACCACGCCCTGACCATTGAGGAAGCGAGGAGCTCGTCAATGTCAATACTCACTTTGGAGCACTCACAGCATGTCCTTGTCGGTGCTAAAAGGGGCACTGCAGACCATTTGTCTTCCTGAGGGGTGCCAAAACATCAGGCATTGGAGCATTTCAAGAGCATGGCGTGCACTCACATAAGCAACTCGTGCCTGGCCTCAGGCATGGCAGACTGTGGGAAAACATGGCTAGGCTACGTCAAGTTGCGCAGCCGAACAGCTGTGAGTGGATGCAAGCGACGCTCTCGGCTGCATACTTGTTAGACCTTTTAGTACTCACCCTTAATGCATCACATTGAGACACCGAAAGGCAAAACTTCGTGGTCCTTGGAGATGTGACCAAGCTGTCGGCGTCGGAGGAGCTCCATCTCCACCTTGTGACGTTCTGTCCATGCCGTGCCATGCCGTGGCCGGCCTTCGATCTCAGGACAGCACGAAGCGAAGCAACAGCCGATCCGTGGAAATTGTGGAGAAATCGATCTTGTTCATGTACCTCTCTGAAGGAGCGGCTGCGAGGTTTGGGGTGATTTGCACCAATCACCCACCTCTCTCTTCCACCGAAGCAGATTTCGAACTGTACGTCCCGCGGGATCACGTCAAACAAAGCAGCCTCTGTGTTCTCAAATATTCTCAAAGCTGACAAAGTTCGGGCATGCTGGGTCCATGGCAGTCGCCGGCTTGAGGCGTGCTGCTATCTTGGGAATGGACTCCCAACCTTGGCCAAGTCTCCGGCCTTGAATTGCCCTGAAACCCGCTCAAGTCACTCTATGACTCTATGCCCGGGCTTTGCTCGTAGTGGTCCTTGGACATCACTTCCATCAGCTCGGAAAACAAGATGCGAAGCTCAAGGATGTCGTTGACAAACCTGCAGGAGCTGCACGATGTTGACGCGTGCAGTCACTTGCCGCTTGGTGTGCCGTCATGCAAGTAATGAACCCAACACTTTCTGAGGCAAGAGCCCCACAGGCAGCATGATGATGCCATAGTCCTCGCCTGGCACACGCGAGCCGTCGCGCAAGGCTCTCCGGCCCTTGCTTCCGACAAGTAGTTCTTTTCGCAACCGAACCTCAAGAGCTGATCTCACGCGGATCTCCAAGGTTGCAGGGATTTGCATTTGATGACCGCTTTGGGGTTCGGAGTTTGCAAGCTTCGACGTCTACTGGATCCGGAGTAAGGGGGCATGCGCCGCTTAACCCGCTTCCCCCTGGAAGCTGGGTGAGCTCTGAAAGATGAACTTGTTGAGATTTTGTGAAGATTAAAGCCGGGAAGTCTGAGCTGGAGAGCGCTCAATTGGGACTGGAAGGTCTCAATGCTCAGGGTCTGGGGCATGTAGATTTCGCCAGAGGCTCGCAGAAATCAAGGGTGGTTTGGAGTTCTGTGTCGCTTTCGCTGAGGTCTAGTAGAACAGGTGCAAGCCAACCGAGCAACATTGCGGTAGTAAAGTAAACCCATGTCCTTAAGCGGCGAACCCGAAAGCGTACTTGGCTCAGGGTACCAAACGGATTGACACACTGCGACACACATTCCGGACAAAGATGCGAAAGGGATGCCTGCGGCCTCCGGGATTTGCAGCTCACGGCGCTCCCGTCTCTCGGAATGGGAGGTTCTCTGCTCTGCTCTGGGTTTTGGCGAAAGTTCCTCTTGCGTGAGGTTCAAACGCAACCAGAAGCTCGAAGTCATTGTTTCTGCCCGTTCGAGATCAAGGCTTCTATTCAATTGGCAATTTAATGTCCTTTATCAGGATCGTGAGTCTCGGATTGGTCCAAAAGAGGAGCATGGTCACACAGCCATTCCTGTCCTCAGTCTTCGCTGGTGTTTCTGGTTGCATGGACAGCTTCACAGCCAGCAAACATGTACAGCGACAGGAAGAGGCGGTCTGGTTCCCTGCTGTCAAAGGGCAGCACTTACGACGAGCACAAGAAAGGAAACTTCTGCTGAGCTGGAAGCTGGCGACGGCAAACGAAGCGGAAATTGTTCCCTAGCTCGAATTACACGAACAGAGCCGGAATTCAATCCCCCCTCTCTCGATGTTCTACGTTTTTCTCACGGAGAGTCCCATCGAGAGCCCACTGCCATCCGGTTAGTGCTCGCACATTGACATATCAAGTCAATTTCAAGATCGGCATGCTGTTCTCACTCCTGCGCCTCAACCGCCGAGGGTGTGCTAAACTATGGCATTTCTTTACCCGTCGTATCTTCAAATGTTCGTGCAGCGTCCGAGAACATGCATCATAGCTAGGTTCAGATCTACTTGAAGTGCTGGCAGACTGCACTGCGAGTTCTAGAGGAACCAAACTGCCACGCATAATGCCTGCATCGTGACGCTTCACAATGAGGTCGCACAGGCACCTGAAATCCGTGCTGTGAAGCCAAAATTCTGGCGCAATTTGAAGTCTGGTTTATCTCGGCTTTCAGCGAGACGATGTTTACCAAATACTGGCCCAAGAGCTGGCTTCCGGACAGCAGAACCTCGCAAACGAACCAAGCAGACTCTGAAATTGAGGTGACTACTGCAGTAGAGCTGCCATGTGGACATGGGTTTGCAACGCAATCTGCACCTGAGTGCAGGGGGTGCAGAAGAGCAGGACCACCATGGCACTATGGGCCACTTTGCCTGCGCTCTTTGCTACAGTCTATGCCCACGGCTGCCACGTGTGACCAAGCATCACCTGATTTTGCAAATCCATGTTCCAGCACGAGGTCTTTCGTTGTAATTCATGCAGCCAACCCGTTTCTCGGAACATTAAACCACCGCACAAGGCCCAAGGCCAACTGCTTGCACCAAGCAGCCCATTGTCCGAACGAAAATCCACATGTTCCTGCAAAAATTGACACATGCCTTGGCATCAATTTCGCCACAAGGCGTCCTCGAGGTCTTGACCAAGTTCCCGATCGTGCCAATGAAAGCAGATAAAGTTCTCGTCACCTGGCGAGCTTTGCTTCGGTTGCCTGCGACTGTGGCAACCTGTCACGCTGTTGCAACACAGAACGAACAAGGAACGGCACCGTGTCAAAGCCGATCGTTTGCTGCACGAAGGGGAAGTTGCAGTCCAAGGATACCTGACGTTTGCTTCCACCAGCTCACGTCAGAGTAGGCTTCACGAAACGCAAATGCTACATTCGAGTCAAATCGAGTCAACCTGGCTTGGGTTCAGCGGTGCACACCCTCCCAACTCGACAATACAAGCGAGGCAGCTAGGGCATGCTAGGGCACTCCACAGGCAAAACCGGCTGTCACGTGCACTCAAACGAGCGGCGACTGCGCAAAATCTTTCATTTTGGAATGCTGGCATGCTGCCCGCTGCTTTTCGGGTTTCCATCTGCAATGAATCTACAACTCCCCGCTCCGTTTTTGCCCTGTCGGGGTTGCCATCGCTTCTGGCAGAGAGGTGAAGATTACCTGCCCCAACTCAACTCCGAATTCGTGCCCGCATCCCGGACTCGAAGTTGCGAACTACGTAACCCAATCCCTTCGTGTGGATGCAAGGACGGAACCCTCCGTCTTCACACATCTCCTCTTCAACCAGACTTGAGGAGCCGGCAGGCAGGCATGCGTTGCTCTCCGCGCATACATGTGCGACTGGCAACATAACTTGGGTCAACGCCCCTCCAGTCCTCTGACTCCAGACTGCTTCAGCTCACCTAGTGACGGTACACGCAAGCTATGGAGCAATGCGGGGCCTCCCTCTTCTTCCTCAGGGCATAGGGGACTGTTGAGGTCCCCCTGCCCTATTGGCTCCCCACATGTTATGCAGCTTGGAGGGGGCGAGAAAACATGGGTTTCCACATCGGGTAAGCAGGAGTGGTTTGTTTTTAAAGTTCCCCGATGTGTTCCCCCTCAGCTTTGCGACACCGGAAACCGAATTCAGATTTATGTCGTGAAACTGTCTAACAGCACAACACTGTAAAGGCTATGCAGGTTTCACCTATTCCCCGGCATAATCTGACAAACATGCGTCCGCTCAGCGTCCCCACAAACGCTCGTCATGCTTTATGAGAACGAGAACTGAAACCAGTATGACTGACCGGTAACTAAAAAGGAGCCTCGACATCGTGTTGTATGCACTCTGCAATCGAAGTGCTTCGCGTTGTCCCCCTCTTTACCAAAGCAACACCACTGGACATAGCATAAGATCACATTGCAGGAGGTCAACGAGCGTGTTAATCGAAGGTATTACGGCAGTCCTTTGCAGGTCCCCCAAAACCTACTCAACAACATCAGGGGACGACACTGCTGCCTGAGAACTGCTGCGTTCCATGACATATGCAACGACGAACTGCAAAGGCAACAATACAGTTCAGTGCAGGTACGGTCGGTACGGTCCAAAGTGCAACGCTAGAAAGAGAGAGCAGTATTTAAAGCACCCTTCCCGTGCGTCATCGTCCGAACGCGAGAGCACACGAGCGGGCATCCCGAAACCTTTCACAGGCATCGAGCGCACACCCTTACCCGATTCGAACAAGTCTTCACGACCATATCGAATCAGAACTGCTCCCTCGATAACAGGGTGGGCCGGGTGGGAGAAAAACATCTTTCACAGATCCGGAGCGATCGCCTTGCCCCAAAATGGCCACGGCGATCGCACATCAAAGAACGATCGAGAGGCATGCAGATCTCATGCAGAAGTGTGGCGCTCCTATTCCAGACCTGCCTAACCGATAATAGGAGAACCACACTCCACGCACGAACGTTCGCGAACCTCACTGATCAGCAACCAACATGCGAGCGCACCACAAACAAGTTTTGCGCTCTGGCATGGGGTCGAGCGAAAAGTCAGAAACCGAACGAAAATATCCGACCGACCCGAACCCCGAGCGGTCGAACGAGACACCCTTCCCGCGCGTCATCGTCCGAATGCGAGAGCACACGAGCGGGCATCCCGAAACCTTTCACAGGCATCGAGCGCACACCCTTACCCGATTCGAACAAGTCTTCACGACCATATCGAATCAGAACTGCTCCCTCGATAACAGGGTGGGCCGGGTGGGAGAAAAACATCTTTCACAGATCCGGAGCGATCGCCTTGCCCCAAAATGGCCACGGCGATCGCACATCAAAGAACGATCGAGAGGCATGCAGATCTCATGCAGAAGTGTGGCGCTCCTAATTCCAGACCTGCCTAACCGATAATAGGAGAACCACACTCCACGCACGAACGTTCGCGAAGCTCACTGATCTGCAACCAACATGCGAGCGCACCACAAACAAGTTTTGCGCTCTGGCATGGGGTCAAGCGAAAAGTCAGAAACCGAACGAAAATATCCGACCGACCCGAACCCCGAGCGGTCGAACGAGACACCCTTCCCGCGCGTCATCGTCCGAATGCGAGAGCACACGAGCGCGCATCACGAAGCGAGATCTCACGAGGTGGCCCGAACTGGATCAGCCTTCTCCAGTACTTCAAGGATCGAATGATCGCAGGGTTGAGATCCATGCGATCGCCGTGGCGATCCTTCATGTACTGTCGCTCAGAGAGTGGCCGGAAGAACGCACGACCGACTTTCCCCCAGAGCTGGCTCGCCCCGAACATAAGCTTGCCTTTGAGCTTCCCGGCCAATCCTGGATCCAGGCTGCCAGACTCGAGCACGGAGTCGATCGTGTCCAGGAGCTCTTGCTTTCTCTGCTCCTTGATCTCCAAGACGAGCTGCTCCAGGTTGAACGTCACGCCCAGGATCACCGGGGCGACCGAGAGCTGCAACTTCTTCTCGTCAAAGAGCGCCCCCAGCAAAAAGTGAACAGTTTCCGCGGCGAGCTTTGCCGAAGGGGCAGTGAGCTCTGTTTCGAAGCCGTACTTGTCGTCGTAGAAGTTGAAGGCGACCATCTCGAAGATCTTGACCAAGACGTCATTGATGAAGGCCGAACGGCGATTGTAGTTGTAGACCGCCGCAACCAAGCCGGAGGAGTGCCCGATCATGAAGAAATATTTTGGAACTCCATCCTCGGGATCCTTCAAGCAGATCACGCTGAGTTTGCGGTGATCCGGATGAATGGGGAGTTGTCGATAGGCTTTCCTCTCATCCAGAACCCACTCTGCCAGAGTGCGATCGCCTCCACGTGTCCGCAGCTCTCGTAGAACTGCCACGTTAAGGTCCGTCGACACGAGCTGAAGCTTCTCGGTGATCACCGCAGTCTTGTTGATCAGGTTGGACGTAGCGCTGTCACACCCCCGAACTTTATTCTTTTGAACCACTTCGAAGCGCTGTGTAGGGATCCAATCTGAGCAGCCCAAGAACTCGGACACTTCGTCCTCGGAGCCGAAAGGCCCCACAGTCGAGCCCTCGAGCACATCCTCCATCGTCGCTTTCCACAGAGACCTGAGATTGTCCGAGACTGGAGCGGCATTACAACGATGGAAAATTTTCGAACGAAACTCCCAGGCCCGATTTAGAGCATCCTGAATTGGCACCGTTTGTTGTGGCTTGGAGAACGGCGGCCACCTTCCGCAGCGTTGAATATCCCCCACGATCGGGAAGCCGTCGCGAATGCCATTGAGCAAGAGCGGATCAGGGGATCCTGCCGCTGCGAAGAGCTCATCATAGAGCTTGACGTGAGTGCAGGAACCAAGCTGAAGATCCACGTAGTCAGGAACTCCTCGAAGGAGACGCCGCAAAGACGGATCTGCGATGCTTCGGAGTTCCTGATCTGTGTCTGGCAAGAGAGCGTGAGCACGCTGCTGCCAAAAAGCAAGACGATCATGCCGGCGTTGTTGAAGACGATCTGGTTCACTGACGATCGTCTTGATATTCTGTAAGATCGAATCCGCCAGAGCAGTTTGAACTGTAAATGGGTGAGCCGTATGAAGGGCCCACTTGATCGCTACGCCAGGCTCGCACTCGACATCGAGCAGCGGCTTGGCTGCTCCGCGTTTGAGCTGATAGCCGCTGGAGCATGCGAGCCGAGCCGCTTGCTCCTGACGATGGCCTCGCCAGGCGACTTCGTCGTCGAGCTGGCGCCCGCGATCTTTGGGAGCGATGAGCTCGAAAGAGGCCTCGAACTGAGGGAAGATGCCGAAAACGACCGAGTGGGTGATTTCGGCAAAGAACTCACACAGCTTCTTTGGGTATTCCTGAGCGAGCTTGGTCATGAACACGTCACTGACCAGAAAGCGGGTCGGCTTGCGAAAGTTGGAGCCGAACTGGCATTGGTCCAGGTCCACGTTGTAGAGATGCAGCTGAAGCTTGAGCTGCTGCACCTGTGGGACCTGCCACATGAGACTAGCCCGGGGGTTTTCCATCGAAGCGTCGCCTCCTGACTGGACCACAGCCGCGAAGAGCTCAAGTGAACGAAAGAGCAGCTCGATCGCAAGCGTGATCTGCCATTGGTAAGCTTGCGAGCATGTCGACAGCCCGAGCGGCTCCGCGCGAGATCGAATCGGTGGCGGGCCTCCTGGTCGAGAGCGAGCAATGCTGAAAGAAGAGCACGGCGTGCCGAGATGCAAGAAGGCGATAGCCCCCATCTGCATTGGTGGTTGCAGAAGCGGATGGCTTCTCATCTGGTTTGGTGCCAGTGGGTTTATGTTGTGGTGGAGGGTTGTAGCTGCGAGGGGCTTCGTGGGATGGATGTGGGATTTGTCGCGTCCGGCTGCGGTGGCGTGGCTTCAGTGGGAATGGCACTGGCTGTTGTTTTGGTGTCTGCTGGTTGTTGCGGTTGTTGTGGTTGTGGGTCTGCTTGGTCGTCGCTGTGTGCTTGTATCGCCGGATCATGGGCATGCTGGGGGGGTCTACTTCCTCAGCGTCCCCCTCCGGGCTGGGTGCTAAACTTTTAGCTGCATTCCCGACGGCCTGTGGTTCCGCCTGCTGGTAGCACCGGTGGCTGTTTCTTGACGTCGTCGCAACAGTGCTGGCGGTTGTTGACTGAAGGGTGGCAGCTGGGGTGCAGGTGCCCCACCCGCAGTGTCCAGGGATCTTTGGTGCGCTCAAAAAGTAACTTGTGGCCGGTCGAGAGCAGCATGGCTCGGGCTTCGGCGGGGGAGGGGATTTGTATGGACAGCAGCCAGTGATTGAGCGTCATGGGGGAGAAGATGGCTTGGAGCCCTACGAGTAGCTGTACGTTTTCTCCCCAGTGGCTCTGTATCCATTGATTGCCCCAGGTGCTGCAGGGCCTCTGTCCACATTTCTGGCATGTCCCCTTCGACGAAAGCCAGCAAGCGGCGAAGGGACTTTTGTGCCTGATAGACGTGCGCAGCGTAGGGTGGTTCTGGTGTCCCGTGACTCTGGTTCGTAAAGCAGGATCATCCCCTGCCGCGTCTCAAATAGGGTCATCTCTGTGTGAGTGGCCGTTCGGGGGTGCAGTTGAGCTGGCTGCGGTTCCCCCCACGTGGCTTGACGTGGCTGGCTCCTCTGCGGCGTGGTGGTCGGGACCGGATCGGTCCTATGGCGGGACAAGGGTACATTCCCTTGGCTGGGTCCAACCCAATCGCGCGCACTCCCCCGCCATGCTTGCATAGTCTGCACCTTCCTTCCATGGTTTCCACGTAGGGTGAGCGTGACTATGTCGCCGTTCTTGCCCAAGTCACGATCACTGAGTTGTCAATCCCCTCCGCCCAGTGAAGAATTGCTATTTAAGAAGGCCGTGGCCATGAAGTCTACGGTGTGCTCAGTGAAAAGTGTGTCGCCTCCGGACGTGCAATCTGCAAGGAGAAGCTCTTGCTGTTGCAAGGTCACGTGCAAGGAGAACGTTGTTCGGACTTGCCCCCCTCGGTTATGGCTCGAACCTGCTAAGGCGCTGCAACGGGCCTCTGAAGCAACGTGGCGACAGATGTGATGACTCAAGCATACTCAAGCACTGCTGGAAAAACAGGAAGGCTCCCCTGGAGTAACAGTCCAGGTTACCCCCCCTTCTCCCCCCCGATGCGAGGAAGGCTTACAGGCCCTCCAAGCAAAGGTGCAGCGCTTGAGCCAAAATGGGGGATGTCTCTCTCTTTCTTTCGCTAGGGCTGTGGACTAGGGGAAGCTCCACTGTCGCGCCGCCGACCGTTTTGGTGGGGCGTGGAGAGACGAAGCAACAAGACCAAGGCAACGTGTCGAAACGATGGCCGAGTGCGCACAACAAGAAGGGAATTACAAGCCATATAGTCAAAGGACCCTTGACTGCCATCGGTACTTTGGCTACCTCGGTTCTCTGAGCAATCTTCGATCAGGGCTGTGCCCCGGTTATCATAAAAGACAGTATCGGTCTATTTGCTTGCTTGCTTGCTTGCTTGCTTGCTAGGCGTTTGGGGTCGGGGGAACCCCCTTCCCCTGCGCACAAGCGCTACGCCGTGGTCCAGTGTCGTTAGTCGGCGTGAGACTTTCAGAGAGGATCGGCACCCAGGTTTTCAGCACCCTCCCCTGTCACACACTACGAGCTCGCTATGATTACAGACATGTCCCCGCCTGGTCCTGAACGCTGGTGCCGATCCCCTCTTTTTGTTGTACTCCTCGCGTCGTCCCCAGACATTGCTGGGGGCCTTGTCGAGGGTGTCGGTGGAGTCCCCTGCTTTATGAGTGTCGTCGCAAACCTGAGACTGGCTATCGACGACGGGTGAAGCCTAGGTTATCGGTTTGTCTCTCTCTCTCTCTCTCTCTCTCTCTCTCTCTCTCTGTACCGGGACAGGAGACTCTCTCTCTCTCTCTCTCTCTCTCTCTCCTCTCTCTCTCTCTCTCTACACCAGGTAAGAGGTGTGGGAAGGTCCCCCCCCACACCCCGCGCGCGAGCGCGCTCCTGCGGTCCTTGGCAGGTTTGGTCCCCTACAGGAAAATGCCATAGGGGGGCTCGGCTTTACACGGGAAGAAAACAATCCCCAGGAGTTTGTAAAGGCAATGGATGCTGCCATCAAGTACAAACTGTCAACAAGCAAGTAAGGCTCCGGCCAAACTAATACAGGCTGCTGCGTCCCCTCCCTCACTCCAGGAGGATATAGAAGGGTAGAAGGAAAAGCGTGCTTGGGTTCCCCCACAGAGTTACACGGTTGGCTTGGGCTCAAATTAATGTCTTCATCCCCCGAATTCAAACATCGCTGGCTACCGCAGGTGTGTTTGAAAAGAACCTAGGATTGTGAGACCAATGCGGCCTCATGGATCGAGTTTACCTGAGAAAGGCCGAGACTGTACCCCCTCGGTCCTGTTTAAAGAATTCACACCTCCAGGTACAGCAATAGAACACCATCGGAACGACATGTACAGACTGTTGTCTCCCCCACTGTAAGGAAAGGGCGTTGTTGCCTAGGGATCCATGTTGTGCGAAACAGCACCAAGAGCAATAACACATGCAGAACTTGAAAGCACATGGCTCCCCCGGCTGCAAAAGAAAGGTTTCTCTGAGGCATGAGACAAGAGTTTGTGTGGGCTTCGCAAAGCAAGGGAAACCTACATAAAGTAAAAGGCCCGCCCCCACAAGCAGCATGCTCGGAACTCCCTCGAAGTTTCCACAGGTCTCTCACTGTTGAGCGTCTCCTTCACGGTCGTCTGTCGCCCCGCATGTGCCTCTGCACTTGCTGTACCGCTCGCCACATAGGACCAGGTTGCAGAGTGACGCCCGGCAAGGGCTACGGCTCGGTGTGCGAGGTCGCCGCGCTCCCCCTGCACTCGAACTCGCTCTATCCGAAGGTCGTCCGTGCTCCCCCCACGGCCCGTTCAGGTGTACGGGTACTTCTGGTGCTGTGGTGGGAGCGTCCTCATTGTCACTGTCGCATTCCCCCAGGTTTTTGGCTGCGTTTGGTGCGGAGTCCAGCTCGGCCTCGTCATCATTTGTCCCCCAATCCACTTCTTCATGGCTTGGGTTCGCTGCCGCGTTGTTGCACTGCACGTCATCGGTCTTGGTGGGGTCCCCCGCATCCGCAGTGTCGTTCTTGCCCGTCTTGGCTGTCTTCTTTTGCTTCTTTTCCTTCTTCTCCTTCTGTTTTTTCTTCTCCTTGGCCTTCTTGGCTTTGTCTTTTTTTGCCGTGGCGCAGCTCGGCAGTCTGGGCGTTTTGCCGTGGCGCAGCTCGGCAGTCTGGGCGTCTTGTGTTCCCCCATGCCGCTGCTTAGCCAGGGCTTTTTTGTAGACTTGCTTTCCTTGGGCAAGTAGGGTGCGAATCTCCCCCGGGAACCTGCCAATGTAGATTCTGAATTCCTCCTCCACCGCCGGGTTACACGTGGCAACTATCTTGACAAGCTCGTCGCCTGCGCCCCCGTCTGCCTTCTCTCCTTGTGTCGTTGTAGATAACGGCGAAAGTCTTCACTCTCCTCTGGTGAAAGCACCTCCCCCGTACTGGGGTCTACGTGGTGTTGGCGCTTGCTATCCCACTTGTAGTCCTTGCCGATCCACTTGTCCAAAGGGCTTGGGTGGTAAAGAAGTGCCATCCCCTCCTTTGTCTCAAACCGCACATATTCCGACAAAGGCCGTCTTGAGTTCTTCGCGGTGGTGTACTCCCCCGCTGTTTCAGGGACGGCGGCTCGGGCTGACATCGCCTCCCCCCTTTTTCGCAAGTCCGCTATACTCATGGGGCTGCTGACACTGCCCGCAGAAATCATATGCTTGTAGCAATCTCCCCCGTCATGAGGCTTATGGTACCATGGTCCTTGCAGGCACGCTTTGCAAGTCACCCCGATTTCTCGCAACCGTTCTGCCAACTTCAGTTGGTCTTCCCAAGTTGTTTTCACCTTGGGTGGCTTTGCGCTGAGGGGTCTGCTTCCCCACCTTCTCTGCCTCCACTGAGGCTGCTGGAGCTCGCCATTGATCTCCCCCAAGTAGTCCAGGACGATTACCAAGGGTTCCGCAATCAAATAGTATGCTCCGTGCCCCTACTAGAGGGCCACCCCCGGAGAGGGGCCTCTTTCAGGATCGGCTAGGGGCCTCTTAAGCAACGTGGCGACAGATGTGGAGCTCAAGCACCACTGGGTCGAACGGAAAAGCTCCCCCGGCGTGCACAGCTCCGAGTTAACTCTCCGTCCTCCCCCCCGCACAAGAAGGCGGCACAGGCCCCCAAGTACAGGTGTAGCACTTGAGCTCTCTCTCTTCCTTCCTTCCTTCCTTCCTTCCTTCCTTCCTTCCTTCCTGCCTTCCTTCCTTCCTTCCTTCCTTCCTTCCTTCCTTCCTTCCTTCCTTCCTTCCTTCCTTCCGCCAGCACAGCGAAGGACACATGAAGTGAGAACTTCCCAACCTGCAACGACTTCAATACAAGACCGGCAGGATTGCAAACGCACTGGAAAAGGTCCACAAAAGTTTCGAGTTTGTGACTCCCGACTCGTTTTCAGGGAACGGCCGCGGAGATGATCCGAAACGAAGTCGAAACCGGAGGTGGGAAGCTCCCGAAGGCCCAAGGGCACAGGCACACCGATGACCCTGGTGCTCAGCCGAGAAGCCGCGCAAGCCTTAAGGCTCAGAGACGTAGATACTCGACGTAGAGAGGTGCATGTTGGTGCCACAGAAACTTGCCGAGCCTCGGCCAGGAAGGCCGAGTCGACCTATGAGGGGCAATGACAAGCCGAAGCGGCCGCGGCCCTGCCACGCGGCCCTGCCACGCCTGGTTGGCTTCGTTTCCGACCATGACAAGGCCATCCAGCTTGTGACGAGAAATCGTCTCGATCGCAGCCTCTGCAACGAAAACGTGCCAATCTCGCCCGCCTGCCGGGTCCTAGCGAAGCATGGCCTGCAGATGGTCTTTGAAAGCGAGGGTCGAGGGATCGCCAAACTGACACAACAAATCCTGACCACGAGCCCATGAGCCCGTCTACAAACGGAAACGGGCAGGATTCCCAGCTCTCTTGTTTGGCAATCGCTCCTCCGAGCCTTTTTTCTCCGCGGCGACGGGGCTTCTAACTTTCAGAGAAATGTATGGGAATAATTTTGAGCACAGCGGTTGGACTATAGACTAGAGTCTGCAAACCCGAGTTTGGGAAGGACTGTCAAGACTGAGTGTCGAGCTGTCTCATGCACTGCATGCTGACTAAGGCTTTAAGGGTATCAGAGTACTGTACACCATCTGCTCTAATGACTCCCAGCCATTGCGGAGGCTTTCGAGGCTGCTTCGCGGCTTCGTTGCTTCCTGATGCTCCCTGCAATTGACGGTCGCCAGCACCGCTATATTCCGCTAGCCTCCCTCGAGCATTGGCTTTCCCTTCTGCAAGAACTGGAAGACTGCCGTGGCCACCTGCTGCGAAGCAGTTGAAAGACGTGGCAAGTGGCAATGCAACGCCGAGTGCCGTGCGCCTCGGTTCTGTGTGGATTCTTATCTGGGTGCCAGTGCCGGAGCAGCTCTCGCCACTCTTTCATTCGCTGCTCCCTTGACTCCACGGACCTCGACGGCGTGACGGGGCTCAGGCGCGGCTAAGTCCAGCAAAGCTTGCATAGCTTGCAGCTTGGGCAAACGACTTGAGCTTCAGAAGCTGCTCAAGCGCCTCTTTCTTCGCCTGGCAACTCAACAACATGACAAGTTGTCTGGGCCGTCAAGGAAGTCAACGTCCCCGCCCTGTCAATGTCTGGGTTCACTGGGTTGTCACTGGCAGGCCTCGGCTCAGGAAAGTCTCACTCAAACAGATTTGGAGTGTCCTTCAGGGGCTGTGCTGCGCAGGCTGGTGCGCAGGCTCCTCCATGACACAACCGCTGCTGCTGGACCTGCTGGAGCCCGGATACAGCTGCACAGCACAAAATGCCTGATCGAACATGCATGAAAGCTATGACCCTCGGGAGTCCTTGATTTGCTGCTTTTCACCGAGTCCCCGCTAGATGATGATCCATGCTTCCTCGGGCAACATATTATGCAAACGGAAGAGTCTGTGAACAAGCAAACCAGCTCTATGGAGAGAATGTTGCCATGGCATGCTTTGCCCGACGGAGTTGAACTCCCCAAGGGCCCATGGCCTTCTTGCTATTTAAAGAGGGCAGGGGTGGCGGCAAGGGGGGGGGGGGCGGGATGGGCTTGCTGCCGCGAGCTTCTGGACTCACGTGGCCTCACTGTATTGAGAGGGCTTGGCGTGGTCAATAGATGTCAAATGCATGTCTGGTCTTGTATCCTCGTGCCTGGTTGAACTCGGAATACCCCACAGAACTGCTGTAATGTTTAGGCTAAGTTATAAAACAATAAATGAGAAAGATTAAGAAACCACGACATGTCAGCTCCGCTGGGATCGAAAGAGTACGAGATTACCCGTTACCGTGGGGTCGCATGCCTTGAAATGCATTGAAACAGGTTACGGGATGCAGCCCATCGCTTGCCACTGCGACCATGAAATCCTGCGATGCTGACCGCTGAAGCCACGCCACCCAAGCATAGCCAAATCTCAAGCAAGTTTGATGGAATCTTTTGCTGGAGGATGGCCACACCCCGCTCGAACTGCAGCGACAAGTGCTGCTTGGAGTTCCATCCACGTGACAGGCAATGGGGAGGTGGAAGGTCGGCCAACCGTTGCCAAAAGGCTTGGGTTGGCACTCTCACCCTGTAATCACCCGAATCTTAGTTGGGCGCGTGGCTTAGGCAAAGAGCAAGAGCTAAGACTTCCGCTTGTGCTTGTGCTTTTTGTGCGACCTCTTGGCCTGAAGCTGACGATGTATCCCACTCGCTGACACACACAAAGTCGGGCCTTCTTCTTGGCACGGCTGCTGGATGAGCTTTCAGAGCTGCTTTTCTTCCTGTCGCTTATCCACTGCATGTCCTACAAGTGGCAGCCTCGGTGCTGCGAGCCTCTTTTTTTGCTTCTTATCATTTTTCTTCTTGGCACTAGACCTGAGCTCAGAAACGCCCACATGCGCAGCATACTCGTGGGATCTGACTGCTGGTCTTTCCTCTCTTGAGAACCAAACGGGCTGCTACTCTCGTCACTGCCTCCCTCCTTCTCTGCTGGAGCTCCACGTCCTCCAGCTAGAGCCTGCGTCGGTACTTCGGAGGCAAATCTCAGGTCAGCCCAGCTTTTGCCTCTCTGATGGCACGAGCTCCAGCATGTGGGGACAGCCTGAGCCGCACTGTTTCGAATCACGACTCGAGCAACCTGAGCGCCATGCCACAGTCTCACACAGGTCATAATCCAAAGCTCTACTGGTAGCACTTCTGGCCTGGGATTTTGTAGCTCTGCGAGAAACCAGTAATGTAACAGTAGTGTAACACATGACGTCTCGTCAGCTGGCGGGAGGCCGGGTGATGCCTGTGAGCTCCCTCTCAGGGTGGGACGTGCGGCGAGGCGGCACGGCTGCGGCAGCAGCAGCTGGGCCACCCGCAGGATCTTTGACAGGGATTTGGCTCTGCTGAGGCGGACATGTGCAGAGAGCCCACAAGACAGTGATAAACCTTGTGCGCAGCACTTGCTACGAACCAGCGTGGAGTGCCTTCCACTATCGGCTTCGGTGTTTGGCACTTGAAGCACACATTGCGCTTCAAGAAGTTTCTCTCGTTGCAGGACGGACAATTCCTCAAAGCGACAGAAGGGCTACAGAAACTGCATGAAGGGGCACACACTGACTGGATGCAGTACAAACGATTGAGCAGCATGCCAATCTCGGCTTGTGTCCTTTCAGCTTCCACTAGTCGGAAGGGGACAACTCAAGCTCCGAAAATGCCTCATCACTGGCCTCTTCGTCGTACCCTCTTTCATATCTTGCTCTGTGACTGTTAGCCATCATCGCCTGGAATACAAACTGCAGGTGCAGGGTGCAGAGCTGCACGTCAGAAAAAGAAGTCAAAGCGATCATCAACGGGCGGAGTCATGCCTCTCAAGTTGAAAGGGGTCACACTCAAGCCGGGGGCTCGGACCGCTTGGGTATGTTTGTCCTCTCCGAACGGCCGAACGTTCCTCGCGCACACACTGCCTTATTTGCAGGCCAGGCTTCCAACTGCAATCATGTCATGGTCCTGGCAACCATTCGACGACCCTCGTAGCCGATCTCGAAGGTCACCCTTTCTCCAGGCATGTCGGGATGCCTCAGTCCAGAAGCTGTCTATCTCTCAGGTCTCTCGCTCGTGGACACTTTAGGCAAGGCTACAATAACCTGGAGCTGACGTTCTCTCGGGTGAAGTACAGATCCTCGTAAAGAAGCGTGCAAGGCAAATCGAATCCTTGTTGAATCGCGACGGGCCTGAATATCAGAGTTGCCAGTGCACATGATGAAGCCGAACCTGGTGCTCGCAACTCTGTTGTACTTGATTGCCACCAAGAAGCAGAGGTAGGCACCCTTTCTTGTTGTAGCTTTTGACCTCGAAATTTCAGGTGGCGGTTCACTTGGCTTCGTCCAGCAAGTCCAGGTCGAGAGGCCATGCCATGAAGCGTGGTGCCAGTTGTCGGTGGGGGCTGAGAGGCTCTTCGTGCATCCTCAGCCGGCCTGGCATAAGCCGGACGAGGAAAAGTGGCAAGGACTGGGATGCCTTGCCTCGGGGTTCCGCACTTGAAACACGCCGGTCGCTTAACGAAGTTCCGCTCTCTGCCTTATGGCATCTTATGGCTCACAGGAGCGGGGATACTTAGGTTGAAGGCCGTGTTGCAGGAGTTGTTGGGACATTGCCAGTCTCGGCTGCGGTCCTTGGAAAAAATATCGAAAGCTTGTGTGGAGGACCTGGGCGCTGCAGTGAAGCAGTGAAGCCTCCTCACAAAAACCACCACCTCCGCTGCTTTTGCCGAAGCCACCTGCTCGGCTGAGGTGAGGCACCACTTTCTGTGCAAGTGCTGCCGAAGCCGGCGATTTCCGGCCTTTGCTGAAGCCTTTGTTGAAGGTCCCAAAGGCCATAGAAAACCGTCAGGCGGCCGAAAAGCAGCTAGGCCCGGCCACGGTCAGGCCACGGAAGCATGGGCATGCGAGCAGTGCGAACGGATCGGCTGCCCAGCTACCCACTACCTCCCAACATACGGCTACCCGTGCCTTCTGCGCTTCCCAACTCGGGCTTGCAGAAATGCGGTTGTGCTACAGTTAAAGGATGCAGCTGGCAGGGCAGATTCTGCATGAAGGCCATGATTGCCACTGGCAGACATTTTGTCGGACGGCATTCTGCAACCGTTGTTTGTCTACATCCATGTGTTTGCTGCTAAGCTGAAACGCAGCCGAGACCCCCATCTCACAGCGTCACAGCATGATCACATTTCGCACTGAAGGCGGAAGCAAAGCCCCGCAGCCGCACTCCTGACCCCCCAAATTCCGGAATTGGTCGACCATATCCTTCGAGATCGGTGCCTGACTTGAAGAAGGCATGGCTCCGACTTTAGCCCTAGCTCCGAGGAGATGGCCCAGAGGTCCTTCAGCAGCCCTTCGTACCTGAAAAACCCCGGAGATCGCCGAAGGTCGAGTCGCGCAAGTCGCTGAGGCAATGTCCCACAAAAGAAGCCGATGAGTTTGGCTGGCCCCGGAAGGCCATCCCTGGAGCAAACAAACACACGCACACAGATATGTCTAAAAATTATATAATATGCATACACATTTGTCTGTAAACAAGGTATTTGGAAAATAGCCGTAAGTCCGTAAGTAAGCTCTGCACAGATAATCGAAGAGACCGGCAATCACTGGATGGTAGCCGGGGACCTGCACCGTTTTGACAAGTTCGAAACCCGACGCGGAAACCAAAATGGTACGACGGGCAGACCCTTCTTTTTGAACGGTGTGAAGTGCATCGCGCCGGGTCGGTCGCCTTCGCCGGAGCAGGGCGGTACGGCGCCGGGGACGCTTTCCGCATCCCGGCCCGTCGCCCGCCAGGAGGGAGCAACGACCCGCGGCGTTCATGAACGTCGCGGCGGATCACGGCGAAGTCGAGGTTGTCGACCGCCTTCGCAGGATGGATGCTGTGCCCCCCGGCAGCTCGTCGAGGTCAGCCCCGATCGACGAAGTGGACTGACACGATCCACAGGAGCACCCTCTTCAACGCCTGCAGTGCGTCGGCGGTGCGTTTGAAATTCACACCGACGCCGCAGCCCCGAAGCCCATCGCATGTGGAACCACATGGTGACCCCCTCCGGTGCTGCCAGAAAGGTTGCAGAATGCAGAATGCATCGGTGCTTCACCGGCCACTGCCGGTACGCATTCAGGAGAGGTCGCGGCCGAAGACCCGTAACGCCTCCGCGTGCTCAGGACCCACCAGCTCCACGGCCCGCCGAATGATGTCGACGTAGTCGTCGACGAAGTGGTGGTGGGTGGGCACTTCATGCGCGTGGATGGTGGAGTTGCGAAACGACCCGGTCGATCGTTATAGAGGTTTCATTAAGGGTCGCCGACGTCCACCATAGCCTGGGCCGGCCGAAATCGGAGGCGCAGACGAGCACCGGCTTGACGTTCAGGATCGTTCAGGGCCGATGATATATATTGATATATAGCCTCAGCATGCCTCAGCCTCCTCGTATCTCCTCGTCCCAATGCTGGTATACTATACCGGATGGCGTTGAAGTTGTCGACGACGACCCAAATGCCTCGCGGCACCAGCCACACCGGTGGCGAGTCGGAACTGACTCAACGCCAGCTTCGCTGCGCTTGCCGCGCGTGGACGGACCCGGCTGTGCCCTTACCGTGCGGCGCTGCGTCACATCGGTCGGCTTGTGGTTCCGCTGTTCTCCGACAGTGCCGGCGCGACCTGGGAAAGGCTGAGTCGTTGCTGCTCTTCCGGCGGGTGCTGCTGCCACCGGGGCGGTGGTCTGTTCGCGGGGCACCTGGCTGGGGCCCTTGTGCAACGCGAGGCTGCCTCTCTAAGTCCTGGGTCCTGGCCGCCGCGAACTCAATCTCTCTGAGCATGAACCAGGTCGCCAGTAATAGGGCGTCGGCGGCGTGCGCCGTGACCGAGAGGCCCCGAGCATGGTAAACCGCCATGGCCCGTCACTGCAGCCGCTCCATCTGTATCGACCGGTGTCCGGACCAGGGCGCCTGCGACGACTTGGCGAGGATGCTCTTGTCCTCCATGCCGCCAGCTTTTTCGATGGCCGCGGCTGGCACGCCGGCCTGGACCAATACAATGCCGACGCCTTGGCAAGGGCCGATTTGACATCGTGAGCCCCGACGGTTGGTATGGTTGGCAGGTGCCCTTGGCTCGAACGAAGGCCATGAGGGTTGACCGGCATCGTCTGCCAGGGCGCCGGGAAACCGGTCTCCTCGAGCCACCTGCGCCTGCCTTGGAAAAAACCAAGAGAAAGAACAAGCAGAGAGGAGCGACGACGACGACGAAGACATGTCAGTCTTGTCTCGCCGGGCTTTTCCTTCCACAGTGCGGTGTGATATTATGCTGGTTGAGACACGCCGGCACGTACGGCCCGACGCGCCTCGCTCATGACCAAGGCGGAGAAGCTCGCGAGAGTATCCGCCGAAATATGCAAAAACCAATTAAATTGCAGGCGTCGACCACGAAGGCGGCGACAAGTCGCCGAACCAGCGAACCTGTAAAGGATGCCATCGTCGACGACGATGGCCGGCCGAGCCGGCTAGTAGAAGCGACCCCACTTTAGGCGCCGGCACACAGTCGTGGTGCCCGTGTGCTGCCAGGTCGCCGACAGAAGCCCCATGGCCCCGCCGAACGACCTGCCGACGGGTTTGCTGCAGTTGTCGCTACAGGGGCAAGGGCGCCCACACCACCCAATCGGTCCCTCCTCCAGGTCGCCGAGCTGCTTGATGTTCGCGGGCGCCGGTAGTGGACGACGATGGCGAAGGCGCCGGCTGCCTCAGATGTTCGGGGGTGGAAGGAAGCTCGCTGGCTTCAGTCTCATAGAAGGCGGTCGACAGCCACGACGCTGGGCCTCAACAATGTCTCCGAGGTATAAAGCCGGTCTCCGGTGGCTTAGGAGCCGGCTGGGTTGTATAATGTTGTATAGAGGTAGCCGACGACATAGGGCGATTCTCCTGGCGAATGGCCGGCGGCTGCTTCATGACCGAGCCTCCTGGTGCCGCCGCTTGCGCACCTCCCACGGCCATCGCCAGCGTCCGACGCTGGAGGCGCGACCAATGCCCACAAAGTGGAGGACAAGGTCCACCGGCGTCGACGGCGTCTTCCAAGATGGAGATGGCTGCCGCTCTCGGACGCGCTGTGCGACGACATGGCGCCGAAATGGGAGTGCTAGGAAGATCTGCAATGCGTCGGGCGACACAAAGCCTGCAGTAGCTGCGGCGTATGCGTCGTTCGACGAGCTCGTCCCTGCACACGTTACATGTGCACTACGTCTGAATTGGGCAGCTTGCTTGAAATCGCTTGTGCCCGCCTCATCTGCAATGTGTCAAGGGAGTTCCACACACCATCTCGCACGCAGCAAGCCCTGGCCTGACTGCTTGCGAAGACGATGCCGACAGTCATGGGCTTCCCGCAGTCCGATGCCCTTGTACAAACCATGTCACACAGCAGATGTCGACCACACTGAACGCATTCGTTCATCATGACGCTTTGGTGGGAGCTGAGCTCCAAACGCTGCGGTCTGCCTCATTGTCGAAGTTGGTGATCGCTCTGACATTAATGTTTCAACCTGCCAAGCTCCAGGCTGAATTTCCGACTTTGCCTGCTCTATTCCAATCACCTCATCTCCCTCTGCTGCAATTGGCGGGACCAGCCGTATGGCGCACCTCAGACTGTGCCAATCATGCGCGTCCAGACCATGACAATCCATGACTTTCCCACGCCTTGTGTGCATCGTTTGTTTGTGGCCCATACTGCTCAGGCTTCTGCACGTGGGAATGGATGAGGGGAAAGGATTGGACCAGCTCCTACAGCACATGGTGTGAGAGGCTGGAAAGAAATTGGAACAACATTGGCCTCAATGTTGTCGCACGAGTGCGGTGCCAGCTCATCCTCCTGAGCATGGTCCTTATGATACCTTCAACCACGCAGTTGCACAGACCCTGCCGCCTGCCATGTGACCCGGTCACGCAAGTAGCCTCGTAGGGTTCTATCTCACATTTGTTGCGGGCTGACTCTCGTAACTGATGCCTGGTAAAGCTGGCTCGTAGTTCAGCCGTTCCTGCCTCGAAATCAGACTTGACTGCTTCAGAAACACCCCCCAACCTCTGCTGCAACATGCTTCGTGGTCTGTACGTTGGATGGTGTTCGGGCAGCCCGATGCTAGAACTCAGCAGTCATCACGTGTGTGATCCGGCTGTTTCGGCACCCGCATACACAGCAGGGCAGGTCCCTAAGTCGGACTACGAGATTCGGCGTCGGCGGTCCGGGATCGATCGGGTTCAAAAGTTCAGCAAGCGTAGGAGGCAGGAACACAGGCTTCTCACATTGACATGGAGGAGCTCTGCAATGGCCCGCAAAAACGGCGGTCTGGCGTCGCTTCGATGGAGGACAAAATCCTCTTCTCACTTTGGTGACCGGTCCCAGTTTGGATGCAAACCCCTCCCGCCAAAGCGCATAATTGCCAGCTGGGCAAAGTCAGGAGCGGGCCTGTAGGGAGGGGAGGTGCCGGTTGGCTTTACCAGGCACCGATTTCAGAAGTTAGTTGATTCGACTCGCCCTTGGAGTAAGCTCGCTGCTCCAATAGACTCAAGTTCTCTCGCAGGCGACCATCCCGAACGACCTTGTGTCGTGGTCTCTTGTGGAGACTCTCTGCAGTCCTCTCTATAAGACGCAACCCCGATTTGCACTGAGTTGGTGGCCAGCGGCTCTTTGCACATCACCAGCGGGGCAGGCTGGGCTCTCGGTTGGACAATCTGCTTCAGCTCATCCACACCTGTGAGCTTGAACGACATTGGACAAATCGAACTCCTGTGAACCCCTGCAGTGTCCTAGGCTTGTCTGAGGCAGATGCTGAAGTAGTCCGCGAGTAGTGTGATGGGTCTCTCAGATCTCGGTCAGCTCGGGGATGTCCGGGTGATGAAAGCATTATTGCATGCTCCGAGTTTGGAACAGTGGACCCACATCCCCAGAGGAATCCAACCTGTGGCACTTGGGTGGAAGGTCTGCTTACTCCCTAAGCTCTGACGAGTCTGGGGAGCGTTCTGCATCGGGCCGGGGGACCGAAAGACATTGCAGTTGACCTCACTTTCTGAATGGCAAGCCCTTGCCTCTCCTGCACAAGCAGAAACCCGTCGGGCTGTCACCCACTCATCACGGAAGAACTTGTAAACCTGTCTCAGTTCATGGAACTGATCTGCGGTGTAACCTGGCTGTTTTCACATGGGGCGCGTGGCCTCTTTCAGGTGCGGTTTCACGTACTTGCCGGTCTTGGGGATCGGGGTATTCGGGCCTCGAACACACGGGCTTTGTGCTTCCAAGAGTGAGCTGTCTTAGTCGCAAAGACGTGCGAGGAACCGAGCTGCGGACAGGAGGCACGCTTTGCATTTGCACCCTGCGAAGTGGGTACACAAGTTCGCCAAACTAAGCCAAATGTGTCAAGGTGACAGGTACTTGCTTGGCTGTGACATTTCAGTAGGCAGGTCGGAAAGCATGCCGATCTTTTCCTATCACGCCGCAGCATCGAAGACAAGGCAGACCTCAGCGAAGGGTATGCAGCTGTTGTACCAGCCGCTTCCAAGTTCGTTTGGAGATAGACTTGCATTCATCGCGAGCACCAGGCAGTGCTGTCATGGCCACATCTGCAAGTATCGGCTGTAGGTTTCCTGTGCAACTTCTCGGACAAGCAAAGGCCTCCGATGGTCCGATATGGCGAAGGTCCTCTCGGCTGGTTGGCGTCGCAGGCTGCCTCAGCGGCTCCACATCGCCCGAGCATCACGCTGTCTACCTGAGTCCAGTGACGGCCACCGTGGCAAGGAGAGTGGCCTGAGCGAGGCAGACTGGGCTGTGCCCACAGCGCATCTTTCGTCCGTCGGGCTTGCGTCCTCTTGAATTCTGTCTTCGCGGACTTTGCCGAGGATATCCAGAGCTGCCTGAAGTCTCAGTGAAACACGTATTCGTATGGGTGTTTTTCATCTGCCGCGCCTTCCATGGAATGCCCGAGACTTGAACAACCTGATCAGTACCGGGCAGGATTTGGTGGCCACAAGCGAGCCCGAAACGCACATGGCTGCTTGTGTAGCAGAGCTCCTCGCAGAACACCATGCCTGAAAGCGGCGTCGAAACGTAACAACACCGGCACGCTTGCACTACCCAGTTGCCCGACGTTGCCCGGTCGATGCCTGGCTGGACTTCAAATTACTCCTCGAGCCCCAGTTCCGATCGCCCAGGAAGGAGTCCAGCAGCGCCTTGCTTTCACGCCAGCGGCCTGTCAGGTGAAACGCTCCAGACCATGCGGCTAGGCGAAGTTGGGCCTGACGTGGAATGGCTTTGCACAGACGCTCCGCAAGTCACCTCGAGTCGGCGGCGTGAGGAGGCACTCGCAGGAAGAAATTTCTCAACTGCCTAGGTGGTGACGTCATGTGAAAATACATGACGACGTGCGTGCTTACTCATACTTGCCAATGCGCATGCGCGAGCTTTCGAGCTGCTGATTGAAGAATTGAAGACTGTCATGCCATGACACTCATAAGACACAATAGTCAATAGTCACGCAATGCTCATTACCCCGCAGCTCCCTCGACGCGACCCAGGAGTGACCCATTTGCAGAACCCCTGCCAGAACTTTGCTCCAGAACCCGCCCCCAGATCACTCGGCAACCATGTGCAAACTTGCTGCAAACCTGTTCGAAGAGGGGTGGAGGCACACATGAAGCCAAAACGGCAAACAGGGCGGCATGCTTCGCTCGTTTATTCGCGAATGTGCGCCATGGTGTACATTTGCTCTTGAATCAGCACAATCTGCCGCACTTCCGCGGACAACTCCTTCTTGCACAGATCATCTGTTTGCGGGCTTCGTGTTGTTTCCGCCACAGCCGCAGGTAAACGTCGTGATTGCTCACAAAGTCCCCAGGCTGCTCATTTTCGGTTGCACACATGACTGTTGCACATGCCAAGGACTGAACACTGAGCATCGAATGTTGATTACAATCAATATGCGCGATGGCTTTTGTATTGCTGTTGATTTTGTTCGTTTGTGTTGATATAATCATTATTGGCTATATTGGCATCTTCTGTCTTTAATTGCAAACCTATACTGATTTAATATATTGAATATATACTGGTGACTCAACCATGTTTTCATGTTGATCTTGTGTGTCCGTTTCTTGTGCTGGCAGATCTTGCAAGGGCAGGCCCATGGCATGCATGACACTGCTCAGCATATGCAGCTGCTTTTGCTCGACATCATTTATCTCTTGCCGAAGGGACCTGCCTTGTGAAACACATGCAGGAGAGGATCGTGGTGCTCCTCAACTTCCTCGACCACGTTCGGCGGCTGGCCCGTGACCCCAAGTGCGGCAATGCCGTGACCAAGCTCACCGGTCTGGAGTACGGCAGGTTCACTGAGGTGCTGGCCCAGGTCAGCCTGGAAGAGGCCGATGGTGAGGACACTCTCTTGAAAACGGGGCCAGACGACACCGCACCCTTGAAAAAGGGAGCCCCAAGCACTGCAGCAGCCTCGCTAAAGGACATGGCCTTGCCAAAGGGTGGCAAAAGGAAGCGTGAACGAGTCGTTTCGGAAGATTCGGAAGGATTTCCGAAGATGCTAGTGAGCGCGTCCAAGGGTGGAGTGGGGGGTCCGAGATCCGCTCGAGCACGATCCTTGCACAAGGCGGATTCCGGTGGAGGTGAGTCCATCGATCCACCCAGCACAGTGGAGGAGGCAAATGCCATTCGCCAGAGGCTTAGTGCGGCTGTTGCCCCCAAGTCCAGTGCTGCCGCCTCTGCAGCCCCCAATTGAACGGGAATCAGCTCGAAAGAGAAAACCTCGTGGAAGAAGCTGTGCCGGGTCAATGCTGAGAAGCCTCGTGGAGTCTACATCCTTGGCCAGAGAAGACAAAGCCCGTCTGGTGGTGGAGGTTTCGCAGTCTCGAAGCAACAAGCCTTGCGCGACGAGCACCTGAGCAAGGAGGGGGCTCTGATGCTGAGCGAGACTCTTGTGAAAGAGCACGAGAAGTGAAGGCCTCAAGAGACAGCCCTTGCAAAAGGGCACAGAGTCAGATCGATGCATTTTGGCGGGAGTGAAAAAAATGGCCAGTCGCTGTGCAGCTTGTGTTTCATGATGTCAAGCAGTTTGTTTTGTTTTTGTGTTGTGTTTGATCTTTTCTTTTTGGGTGTGCACTACATCTATACATATATATATATACATATTCATTAATTCATTACTTCTATTAATTAACTGAGTAATTAATTATGATACGGTAGATTTTATACAAAACATAAGATAATCATGGTAATCACATACTTCATGTGTGCTTGTATATAGTTGTGCATGGCAGTACTTGTAGTAATGTAGTATTGCTTATCTCATTATTGTATTAAAACTAAAATTGATATTTATAGTTATTGATTGCCATACTTTCATTTATTTAGTATATATTATTTTTATTACTACTATAGTGGAAGCAGGAAAGTAGCAGCAAGCGATAGCAAACGCATATATGTATGTTTTTATCGACCACGAGCAAAAGGCCAGTAGAATCCTGAGAGCTCCCAGGCCCCAAGCCCTGAACCTAGCAGGCAACCCCCCCC